CTGTAATTAAACCCAAAGGAAATAATAAAACATAGTACTTCAAAAAGTTTATTAAGTAATTATATCAAATTATAATTCAAATGAACAATAGTCATAAGAACTCAAAATACAAAGAGGAGGAAAGGTGTTTGGGTTGAAAGTAATCCCAGACAGAGAACAAAGGTTATCAATCTACTTTAACCTTTCCCAGTGGTGTCCCTGGGGAGACTACTAAAAGAAGTAGAAGAATATAAAATTACCAATCTTAAAATCAGAAATAATGAAACAAGAATAAGCCAAATAATTTTAAGGAGATAAGACAAGGTAACATACAACATTTGTGGGGCAAATAACATCACACTTGAAAAACAAACCAAAGGACTTTAGTATGTACACTAGCGTAAGTGCTATTAAAGTTCTTTTCAAAAGTAAAAGATCATCTAACTCTATATCATTTACAAGAGATACATATAAAACATAAGGACACTTTCAACAGAAAAAAAATAGAAGAAAGAATAAGTATATACTGTGATTCTTAGCCTATAATTTCCTTCAAGGAAAACCTGTGCCAAAAATATACTTGTAATGCCAGATACTTTAAGTGTCTTAAAGTGTCTGTTAAATTACAAGTACTGGATTACAGGCTTAGAACCACAAGCTGTCTAAGTTTATATTTCTTTGATGTATTACTATATGTCTCATTTATGACTTAAAGCTGTCAACACAGCTTCAGAGCAATCAAAATCATGGGAACTGTTTATAAGGTGGTAATTAATTCTAGTGATGTATTTACAATATTTCTCTCTGTCAAAACAGACTTATTTTGTTTAGTTGTTCAATTAGGCAAACTGGAATCAATATGTAATTGCTTAAGAGAGCACAAAGTATTAAGAGGGAAGCTTTAAAAGGTGCCTTTTCTCCTGTGGAACTCAATATTTCTTTTTTGGTTCTCCTGTTAAAAAATGATTTAAATGATCTTTTTGACTTAATGCTGTTTCCCATTTAACTGTAGCTGTTGCAATACGACATTCCACATAAATCCTCCTCCTCAAATAGAAAGGAAAAATATCACTTTAATTCTTAACTGTGATAAAAAAATACTCCAGCACTTCATCAGAGGATTTTACTAGCAATTTAATAAATACAAGTTAGATAAATCAGTAAGAGAATTCTGAGGGGGGGAGGGTCCAGTTGTGGGGCCTGAACTGTGGGTCTGGGCGCTGTCCCACAGCTCTTCAGCTCAAGGCTAGCGCTTTACCACTTGAGCCACAGCACCACTTCCGGCTTTTTTCTTTTTGCTTATGTGGTGCTGAGGAATCAAACCCAGGGCCTCATGCATGCAAGGCAAGCGCTCTACCACTGAGCCACCTTCCCAGCCCCATCAGTAAGAGGATTCTGAATTGAAGAAAAGGTAAAGAATGGTAAGCAGACTTGGAATGGGAGGGTAAATTTTTTTGAGATGGAAAATATACTTAAGAAATACAGGACTTTGTGAATGTTTATGGAGGCAAAAAAATCTATTTTTAACTCATTCATTCTTGAGAAACATATCCCTATACCTGCACAAATCAATAATTGAAGAACCTACCATTATAGGGTATGAAATCTATCCAATGCTTATACAGTCACTAATAGAGAAGCAGATAATACTTGGGGATGTGAATATTGAGTAACTGGATAGGAAACCCACCAGAAAGATTCCATGCGCCAGCATGGAAACCTATAACATACAAATTTTTGCTTCAGCAAAATCATGAAATTTAGATTTAAGAGGTTAACAGTAACCCATAAATTGAATTTCAGATTTCTGTTCACTTATCTACTCAAATAAGTTGAAGAATGTGAAAAATACAGTTGTAATTAAGAATAATCTTACATAATAGGTACATTTAGAAGATAATAACTGATCTTGCATTTAATTTCCTGACATGTCAGTAAGTAATACTGATAAAGATACAAGCTGGATACTTTATGCAAACTGATCTTTACAATGAGCAGAACATTAACTTTTTCTCCCCCTTAAAATATAATACATATCATTCCTATTTAGGAAATTGACTAGAATCATATATACATAATCCAACATTCATATCACTATCCACAAATCAATTCTTGGTATGTACATTTAGGTCCTGGTACTCACTGGCCATGAGGTGCCATTAGAGTATTTATTGGTGGGACTCACAGATAACAAGGAGAGATCATAAGGGTGGAGGGAATTGACATTGCAATGTTGGTTGTGCAGCTGTTGTGATATTTGGGCATGGCAGATGCTAGAACCAGTAATGAGAAGACAACACAGAAATGATTGTCACAAAGGAAGTTCATGCTCAGGGGTCCACAGATCACAAAGGCAGGTATGCCAGCCATAGGAGGAAGCATCCAGGAAGCAGAAAGAAGGATAGGGCTGAGTCTGATTCAGGGATCCATGAGAAATTTTAGGATTGAATAGCTTGAATAATATCATAAGACTCTGAACAATAGGGCATGTCTCTAGTTGTCTGTTTAGTTGCCCTGGAGTGGGGGAGACAGATATGGTGTGTGAGAGTTTGATAAGATGGTTAAGCTGTGTGAAGGATCCCTCACATCCATTCCAGGGGACCACACAGAGGCAGGCAGGCACAGGAGAAAGATTATTATAAGGTTTATTAGAGGAGCCACATTTCCCCCAAGAGGGAGCACATGGTACCCTCCACTATCCAGGTAGCAGGAGGGTCTGGGGACAGGAAGTGAGGTAGATGGGAGCTCAGGTGGGTCTGGGAGGAGAGGGAGGGGCCAGATCTATGGTGGGAACTCCTGGGCTGGGAGGGAGGAGCTCAGGGGTGTGTGTGTGTGTGTGTGTGTGTGTGTGTGTGTGTGTGTGTGTGTGTGTGTGTGTGTGTTGGCTACTGGGTCTTCAACTCAGGTCCTTATGCTATTACTTCCCTTTTTCACTCCAGGCTGTCATTCTACCACTTGAGCTATATCTCTAATTTTGGCTTTTTGTTGATTAATTGGAGACAAGAGTCTCACAGATGTTATTGCCTGGGCTGGCTTTGAACCATGATTATCAGATCTCAACCTCTTGAGTTAGCTAGGATTACAGGTGTGAGCTACTGGCTGGCACATGACTTCGTTTGTATATCAAAGCAGAGCTCACAAGGGAGTCTTCTGCTCCTTCTAGGAAGGGTAAGTCCTTTAAGGGACAGTCTCTCCAGGACAAAAGCCACAGTAAAAAATATAGTTACTTCTGTAGCCTTATCTTTTTATCAGGCTATATCAATATATGGATCACAATTCATCTTCACCTTTAAAAAATAAATATAGCTACTTGAAATTAATCCATTGTTAAAAACCCATTGTTAACACATCATTGTATTGTGCAGCCTGGGGTCAGTTTAATTTCCCCCAAAACAAAGTTCTCATAAAAGTGAAAGGAAAACAGAATGGTAACACAGTCACTCTACTTTAAGGTCTGCTCCTGGAGGGCAAGCAGGCTCTGCCTTCCTCTTGGCCAAGTCAACACACAGTACCTGTATCACCTAGACAACTGACAACTGAAGAGGTCACATCTACATCCGCTGAGGTCACATCTCGACTGGATGTGGCCATACCTTTCTCCCACTTGGTTCCACCTCCCTTTACCTGGCCACATCTTTTCTGCCCCTACCCCAGATAAGGCTTAGCCCAGGGCCAGATGCCCTCTTTCCTAGCCGTGTGGAGTGCCAACCTGGCTGGGTGCCAGCCGGAATGATGAATAAACCTACCCCTTACCTGACTTCCACATGTATGGCATTGTTCTTACTTGGCAGCCTCTTTAAAAACCTAACATCTACTAGTAAGATTTTTAAAGAAGCAAAATAGGAGAAATAGATAATATTCATTTAAAAGTGAATGTTTTCGACAGTAAATAGTCACAAGAGTCCTCACCAGGATGAATCTGGATGATGCATGACTCAACAATAACAAAGGCAGAAAAAGATGAGTGATTTTAGCATTCTGGTGCATCCATTTTTTTAAGTTGCCTCTAGTACTATAAAGAGCGAACTGACTTTTGTAATTAATTTCTGGTCTAAGGGCATTTAAGACCCATCTTTCAATCTAATAACTTAGCAGAATGGCACTACAGGGACAGACAAGTAACACAACCACACTGGCATAGTGGTAACAAAATGTATTAAACAAATACACAGGCCTCTGTTTTGGGAAGGCAGTCAGCCATTTTTTTTTGTCCTTATATGACCTTACCCTCAATATGGAATGGTTGTTTGAGAGATCTTAAGGTGTGTTTGTGCATACACACACACAGACACAGACACACACACACACACACACACACACACACACACATATACTTGGTGACTTCTCTGTACCCACATAAGGCTGTTGCCTTCTTAAACCAGTAACACTGAAATAGATGTTTTTGAATGAATGACATTAGGCTTCAATTTGGCAGTTGAGTCCTACAATATTTATTCTGTCTTACTCATCTCTGAGGACCAGGCACTTTGAGGTATAAATGACTTTAATTCTAAGTACATTTGTGTTGAGAATATGTTTTAGGGACTTAAAAGTGTAATTGGTAGCTGGGCACCAGTGGGCTCATGCCTGTAATCTTAGCAGTTCAGGAGGCTGAGATCTGAGGATCATGGTTTAAAGCTTGCCCAGGCAGAAAAGTCTGTAAGACTCTTATCTCCAATAAACTACTCAGAAAAAGCTGAAAGTGGCACTGTGGCTCAGGTGGTCGAGCACTAGCCTTGAGCTAAGGGACAGCATCCATGCCCAGAGTCCAAGCCCCAGGACCAGAAAAAAAAAAGTGTAACTGGCCAGCCATATGGTTTAATCCTTCTAGTATGTAACCTTGTGCTTCATCAAGTGTACGCTCTCCATTTATATTTCACCTTTGAAGAATAAAAACTTAAGACTCCTTACAGTGAGATCAAGAAGGGTATATCTGTTTCCTTAAGTGGTAAATCTATACTCTTCATAGGGAGGTCAAGGAAGGAGACAAACATGTGTCCTAAAAGTCACCTAATTCCTACCTTAGAGGTATCATCACCTTCATCTTCATGCACTGAACTGGATGGAGAAGGAGTTGCAGATTTGCTCCCTGGTGGAGAGGGTGAATTGTGTGGGACGTTGCTTCCTGCCATGTTCAAACCGAGCTGAGCACTCAGCTGGGATTGGTTGATGGTGGTCAGCTGGCCATGCTGCATCATGCTTGGTTGCTGCCTGAGGTCTGCAGGCTGACCCCTTGGCCTCATGGCTGCCATCTGGGGATGGGAGCTGTACTGAGCTCCTTCTGGATTCCGTATATCTTGCATCTAAAATAAACAAATGAATAAATAAACTAATTAATTAAAATACATAAACTTTCAGAAACATGTTTATGGCAAAATTTTTCTTTTAATTTTGTAGACTCCAGGATATTCTGTTGAGTTATGTACATGTACGTTTTTTTCTGGGGGTATAATAATCCAAATTGTATATCAACTTAAAGAGTTCCAAATGCTGGGCACCATGATTCTTGCTTGTAATCCTATACTCAGGAGGCTGAGATCTATGTTTCATGAATCCAGGAAATCTTCTCTGGCAGAAAAAAACATAAAAGAGACTCTCTCTCCAATTATCCAGCAAAAAGCTGGAAGTAGAATTGTGGCTCAAAGTGACAGAGCACCACCCTGGAGCAAAAAACCAAGCAAGTGCATGTGGCCCTTAGTTCAAGCTCCAGTACTGGTACACACACACAAAATAAGAGTGCCAACTGAAGAAACGGGAGATGTAGCTCAGCATTAGTGTGCCTTCCAAACATGTTCAAGGTTCTAGGTTGTATTCCCACAGTTATAAACAAATAAACAAAGTAGAATTTGATAGTAAATGCTTATAACCATTCTGTCATAGTGATATGTAGACACATCACATATATTATGATATTATATTTATATGGTGTAAGTTTCAAACCATTGATGCTTATTCAAGTGACCAAATTGTCCAATTAATGATTATAACATCACATACATTCATTAAACCTCATTTCCCCCCATTCTGATCATTAAAGAAAGGTTTTAGAAGTTCATAAATGAACTATCATTCTTAGTGTAAGTCTTTATAGGATAATATTAGTCAGAATGACTTGCTAACTAACAGACTCAGAATGTTTAAAGACTGGTATTGGTCAATTGATTATTGGAATGATTTGGTGGCACAGTCAGATTTGAAAGTAAAACTGTAAAATTGCAAGGTCACCATATATCAATCCATTATGCTATTTGGGTCACTGCTTTTTAGCCCTAATGAGACTCACTCTTGTAATTCAAGCAATGAATTTCATCTCTGCAAGGATTAGAATTAAAAGCATTGGAGGATGAAATGCTTAACGTTATCTAGAGGTCAAATGCATTGTGTAAGATGAGTATGATGGATTTCACTTAATATTTCTGCAGTATTTTCAATCTTAAAATAATGGTGAGTATTTTGTGATACCCCCTTAGAGGGCTTGACAAATTTAGGTAGGTGAAGAACAATTAAGACAAGAAAGAAAAAATAACTATGGAAAAAAGAAGGTATAGTGAGGGAATATGTACTTAAAAATGCTTAAAATTACATGCTGAGACTGAGAAAAATCAAACTAATAACATTATCCTACTGTTTCCTTTAAAAACATTACTACATTAAATATGCTTAGTAAATACCAAAAATATTACTGTGACTTGGAAATATTGTGAAGGTCAATTGAGGAGCCTGGTGTAGGCTTTACTTCTAGTTTTGTCTATGATAATAAGATTACTTTCTAACAGTGAGCTGTAGTCATGTCATGAAGCTGAAATGATCTGTAGCTGTTCAGGGCCCCATGCTTGCCCTATATTCTTTCTCTGTAACAGGTTGATAGATCCAGCTCTGAGGTCTCAATCAAGATTTCACCCCAACTGGACCTCTCTATCTTTGGACTAAAGTCTCAGTGTCTTAGACATGTGCTCCTCTAGGCTGGCTTCACCATTTTGTAGCTCTCACTCTTGTAGTTTAAACTTTTTTTTCCCAGTAACCCAAACTGTGTACCTCTCATTCTCTAAAAGCAGCTCATAATTCCTTTTCATGAAGTCTTTCATTAAGTAGCTATTACTATTTAATGACGCATGTTATAGTGACAGGATCTTTCAGAGACACTCAGTTTATAGGGGAGGAAATTTGGGAGATGTAGATACAGTATAAATAGTTGGTTGTGGGTTGAAAAAATGTATATGTAATTATAAATTAACAAATAAGAAAAACCTAGACAGGTTAGATGGCTTGTCATAAACTGGTTTAGAATTAAAAATCTGCATTACCCAATTTCAATCCTAAATTCTTCCCATGGAATTAAGCAGCTGATTCCACATTTTACATATCCTATAGAGAGGGTTTTAATCAATTAGCAGTAATTAATAATTCTTTTCAAATGTTGTCTATTTGAATTATCAATTGTTTTTTCTTAATCCATTCATTTATATTGCCTCCACTGACACTAAAGTCTATATTTCTTCTCAAATGTTCTTAGAACCTCTACAAGTGATCTTCCTATGACAGCTTTCACAGAAAATTCTGACATTATTAGATACTATCAAAAAAAGCCCAAACTGACTTTTCTAAGTACAGAGAAGAGACTGCTGTAGTGATGCATGCTTGTAATCCCAGCTCGTCCTTCAAAATAGAGATAGGGGGCTGGAAAGGTGGCTCAGTGGTAGAGCGCTTGCCTTGCATGCATGAGGCCCTGGGTTTAATCCCTCAGCACCACATAAGCAGAAAAAGCTGGAAATGGTACTGTGGCTCAAGCGGGAGAGTGCTAGCCTTGAGCTGAAGAGCTAAGGCCAGAGTTCAGGTCCCATGACTGACAAACAAACAAAAAACAGAGATGGGGGGACATAGTCTGAAGCCACTCATGTGGAAGCATGAGATCCTATTTGAAAAACAAACTAAAAGTCAGAAGGACTGAGAGCACAGCTGGAGTGGTAGAGCTCTTGCCCATTAAGTGCAAGCCCTGAGTTCAATCTTCAGAAACACACACACACACACACACACACACACACACACACAGGAAACTATGCATAAGTGGTAATATGCACTGTTTTGCTATTTTCAGGCTTACTCTCAAATGTCCTAATGTTTCCTCCTGTTAGCCCTTTATCAGATAGGGGCATGGAATATGCGCCCATAGATGACCATTGTGCTATACAGCAAACTCTCCTCTCCCAAGTTTAAAAGTCATTGTATCACCAGGCACTTGTGGCTATGCCTGTAATCCTAGCTACTCAGGAGGCTGAGATCTGAGGATCAAAGTTCAAAGCCAGCCTGGGCAGGAAAGTCTGTGAGACTCTTACTACAATTAACCACCAGAAAACTGGAAGTGGCTCAAAGTGGTAGTCTTGAGCAAAATAGCTCAGGGACAGTGTCCAAAGTTCTCCACACCCCTCTCCCCCAAAAGTCAGCTTATCCTCAAAGCTCCAAGAACTTTCTTACATTGACCTACCATTTCCTTTGCACTTTCTTTCTATACTTTAAAAATTTTTTTCTAGACAGTCATCATCTCCATTAATCCCATGACTAAGGCATTTTCAATCCTTCTTGAGAGCTCTTCTTAATTCAATGTTATTCCAAGTATTCAAAAAGTATTATGTGTATCAATATGTAAATGGAGGAATGACTAATATCCTTATAAGCTTTAACCAGCTTGATGAGTTATTTTTCTTTTTTTCCCCTTTGAACTGTACTAGCATTAATCATAAGATGAAAAGATTTGGTTAGTGTCTACTTCTTTTTTGTAGGAACATCAGGCTGTTATTTCTAACATTCTTCTTTTGTCCTTGAAGAAGAAGCCTCTGGTAGGCAACAGTTTGGCTTAGCAAGTAACAAATGAGAGCATTCATGACTCCCTTGCAGCTACATATAGTCAGTTCACCATGAAATATAAGTGAAAATGTTGTACAGAGGCTTTCAAGAAGTTTTCTTAAAAAGAAAAGCTCCTCTACTTTTGCTCTTTGCTTCTTAATATTGGTGAAAATACAGGCTAATGATTCAGGCAGTACTCAAAGAATGTAGGTAAAACAAAGAAGAGATTAAGTGTCTGGTTATCATGGACAATTTACTACTATGGTGTCTTTATTGTGATCATCTCTGCAGATTAATTCGTCATCAATGGGGCTTTCTCTTATAGTCAACTGAATATAATCTTAAATAATACAATGTAATTCATTAAAATCCAACATAGCAGCGATTCAATCTACAACTCTTCACTACTGTAGCCTTTGAATCTAGCACAGGTAGTGTGATACATGGTAAGTCCTCACATATTTCTTGAGTTACATTGAAGAGATGTTTTATTCTAGCACTGCTAGGACTCATTATACTGGCTTCATGGAAACAGTAATATAAATCTCTGTTAATCTCTTGGGAATGCCATCAGCTAAATACAGGGCTAAGATATCTAGAAGGTACTTTCTAATGTGTGTATTTCTCATTTTATTTATTTTCAAGGGAAGTAAACTTTCTATTTTCATGTTGTCTTGGCTAAAAGTCATTTACATCATTAGTATATTAGTTTTGAATAGTTCTGAATGTTCTTCTCCCCACTTGAAAAATCTAGTCCATTTTAAAGTGCAGCTAGAATTTACTTTTTCAAAAACCTGATATGTTATGTTAAACCTTCCATATATGCTATTTATGACCAAGATATAAATTTAAAATTGTGAATTAGAATGATGGAGGAGTATTATAGTGGTGAAAAGGAAATTTCATGTGAATTCCTCCAAAACTTTTTCTAACTTATGCAAAGTGAAAAATCGTACTAAAATCTGTCAGGAAACAAAAGTAGATATGGAATATTCATTCTCCCTCAGGATCTGCCTTATCCTAATATGTGTTTGTTCCTGAAGAATACCGGGTGGAAGAACTGAACTCAAGTGATAAACTTCACAGACATTTTATAGGTATTTTTTAGAGCATATGTCTACCTTTATTTCCTTTGGATTTTCTTTGAAAAGAAAAAGAAAAAAATCATGTTGCCACATTGCATTATCATTTTTTAAATATCATTTTTTGGTGTAACTGGAATACATCTTGCCCCTCCTCAAAGAATTTGCAGTAATGTTGGCTGGATTATTTACTAAAGAGTGTGAAAATTGCACATGTCGATGATAAGACCAAACTGAAGACCTTGTTGTCAGTGTTAAAGCTGTGTGTTTTTCACAATTTTTCTTATATTTGCTCTGTTCCATTGAATATCAGCAACCTTCCAGTCCAACATGCAAGCCTTGAAAGTTATCATTATCTTTGCCTCTAGCAGACAGTCTAT